GAATACATCACCGCGTTCGTGAATCACATTGGAGACACAGCATTAGATAATAAGTTTGACGATACATTTCGCCGATCAGTGGATTTGATCATTAGCGACGAAGCTGGAGCAAACATCAGGTACGAGAACGGAGTTCGGAGCCGACACCCGGCCAGAGATTCATTACACCTAGTCTGCGATGCCCACAAGAAAGCGAAGGTGGCGACATTGGGCTCGGCTGCGCAGGGCCAGGTCAGCACTCGCATCATCCGCCTCCAGCTGAGCCTGCGCGGGAACACGATGGGCCTTCGACACGCCATGCGAGAACTCATCAGAGAAAGGCTGGTCATAATCCACGGCGCCTGCAGTGACTTGGAGGCTTCTCGGCATCGCTCCGGCGTCATCGACGCCTTCATGCCGATCGAGCGCGCAGAGGACGTGCGCATGCGAGAGGTAGTGCGCAATCTCTTCAACGGCGACTGGCGCAGGGCTGACAGGATCGAGCACTATGAGAACGGATGCTGCCGAAGTCGGGCTCAGACATTGCGCATCATGATGACCGTCGGCGCGCGGGCGCTCACGAGGCGCCTGGCCGACGTGATGGACAGGAGCAATTGGACGGGGTCTCAGTATTCAGTTTGCGGGCTTGGGTTGGCAACGTTCGTGCACAACATGTTCCCGAGTGCGTATTCTACATATTTCGTTGGAGCTGCCAGTGGCGCAGCGGATCCAGAGGAGCCAGCAGTCGATCGGGCCGTTGATTCTGGAGCCGACGTGGACGAGCCGAAGGACCCGAGCGTGTGGCGAGAGGAGAACAAGTCCCGACAGACGCAAACGTTGTCTTGGCTGCAGAGCGGTTGCTTCCGCGATGACATGTACTTGTTTTCGAGGTCCGAGGTTTCAATTCTACGCCGACCTGCCTCTACCAACCGACCGGGCGGGGACTCGGCTTCGCCGTGGCGATGTTCGACCTGGCCCGCGGCTGCTTGACAGGGCGGGGGCGCCTCGATGCGCCGTGTCAGGCGGCCGTGGGCCCAGGGGGCGAAGCCGCGCCCTTTCGCCATCGGTCGGTGGCGAGTTCGGCGGAGACTTGAGCCCCCACACTCAGGACCCACGGGCCGTGCCGCCACTTAAAATTGGATGAGTTGTCGCGTTCTGGAGCAGAATGGGAGGTGCGTCAACAGAAGAGGTTGATCGATGGCAGCTCCAGGGATTACCCGATTTGGGCCGCCAGTGATGCCAAGCAGGTTGCGAAGTTCACGAAGCAGATGACGGCTCTCATCTTCGACGACGGCAGTTGGCCCCTGGCGACCATGGCGACGGAGAGTTTCCAGCTCGACGCGGACCGTGGATGCTCGAGGCTGGCAGCGGCCGCTTACGAGCTCGTGGAGGTCAGGCACAGGAAGACCCCGTACAACACGTTCAACGTGCTGAGGGACGACGGCGCCACAGAAGAGTACCTGGCCAACACCGACGAGTGCGTCCTTGATGCCTACACGGCGTCCTGGAAGGAGTACTACAGCTCCCGCGGTGGGATCGGCGGCAGGATGGCGAAGGCCGAGCTTGCGGGGATTATCCCGCTAATGACAACCAGCACTGCCTTCGCCGAGCGCACCACAGCGAGAACCTGCAGCAGAGCGAGAACAGCAAGTTTTCTTGGGGCATCGACCTGCCATCGATGAGCGGCCTCGCCCTTTTCAGGCAATACTTGAAGTGGCAGACGGCTATATTCCGCGGGCAGCCCAAGGCCACCGCCGAGGAGAAGAAAGTGGAGGCGCGGCGAGCCCAGCGGACGAGCAGGCCGACGCCGATGGGGCCGTGGGTGTGGCGGGCGTTCGTGCATATTGAGGCGAACGGCGTGTTCGTCGACGCCGCTCTGGGGGCCGAGTTTTCTGCCAGGTACGCTGGGTTATCCGCCGAGGAGCGGCAACCGTGCGAAGATTTGGCAGCTGCCGCACTGCAGGACTATCGGAATGGGCGACCTGCATTCGGGAAGCCGCCGCGACGGAGCTCGCCCGCGCGCGCGGCAAGGGGAATGCCGACCGTGCGCGTGGTCGACGACGGTGCCCCCGACGGAGTCGCCCTGGCCGACGGCGAGCAGGACGCGGCGTCGTCGGTCTTCGAGAAACCCATCTTCAAGGCTGCGACCGTCAGGCTCATGGCGCACAAGAGGGCCGCGGCTGCCACCATGCGTTCTGGCCAGGCGGCGGAGGCGGACCTGAGGGCACGATCCAACGCAGAGGCGGATCAGCATGCCAGGGACTGGTATTTCATTGGGAACGATGCTTCTGCTGCCGACGAGCGGCCCGCTGACTTAGCCATCCAGCGCTCCTCGTTGCCGACGGCCGTGTTCATGCGGAGGCGCGAGTCTGTGATGTCCGAGGTCCTGAGGGCTCTCGACACCAGCAGCGTGGAGATGGAGTCTGCCAAGTGGATTGCCAAGCATGCGCACGCGCGCGAGGTCGGCTGCAAGCCTTTGGACGCACCCCGTCGGCTTCGGCGCCTTTGTTGGGAAGCCGAGAGGTGCATCTGCCAGGGGCCTGCCCAGATCTCCAAGACCTTCAAGCGCAAGATGACCGTCGTGTGGCGCGTGGTGGAGCACGCCGTCGGGGAGAAGCTCTTCAAGGCAACGATGGTGGCGAACAAATACGTGATCAGCTTCTCGTTCAGGAAGGCCCCTGCAATGTGTTCGCGTGATGTCGTGGCGGGGTCTGGCTTGGAAGTGGTTCCTGCGGGCGATGAGGTCACGCTGGTCTTCCACATCGCGCTGCACTACGTTACCCCTTGTAGGCCGACATTCATTTCCATGGATCGTGAACCATCCCAAGATCGCGAAGGCTGCTTGGGCCTGTCACCTACCAAGGAGCTCGACGGCCCCGACGCCACCTTGGGCAGGTACACCTCGTCGGAGCTGGCGACGGCGTGCTTCCAGGACTCCTGGGACAAGCGGCCGTTCCAGGTGAAGTGGTACGAGCTCTTCGCAGATGGCCGACAGGTCGCGCAGTTCAAGCCCGCGTTGCAACGAGTGCGGGATCGACCGATCGCGGAGTGCGACCTGTGGTCTGTAAGGCCCCCTCCGCCGAAGCCTCGAAAGAGGAAGAGGGGCGGGGGGCCGCCGACGGGCCCATCCAAGTCTGGCCGTGCTCCCATTCGCGACGAGGACGACGAGGACGGCCGCGGCCCCGAGCTGCTCGAGGATGGCGCCATCGAGGGTGACGTCGGGGAGTCCGAGTCTGACGGGCTTGCGCCGATGGTGCCTGCGGCGCCGATGGGGTCCGACGAGGAGTGGGACCTCTTTGGGCCGTCCGGCTGCGAGGGCGGACCCGACGCCGCCGCCGCCATTCCACACTTGGGGGGCGGCGACGGCGACGTCGCAGCTGAGCCGCAGCCGCGCGCTGAGTCCCCTGAGCCAGTGCCGCCGCCTCCAGAGGATGGTTGCATCTTCCAGGCGGCAGCTGCGAGCTCGGCAGCTGAGGGAGGGGGGGGGGCTGGGCCGCTTCCTGGAGGAGGCGGGGGCCCCCCCGAGGGTCGAGCGCCTGCCTGGGTAATTTTCCACACCGAGCACGGCAGCATTCGCTTCTACATCCGAACGTGCCGCTTCACGGCCGAGTGCAGACGGGGAGCGCACCTCGAGCATGGGAGTTGCGTGCTCTCTCGCACCAGCCGCCCTAGCGCGGTGCCTCGCCGCGCTGGCCAGGGCAGGCCGCTCGGCTTATTGTTTGCTCGGCTGCTGGAGGACTCCTGTGTCAGCCAGCACGATCACGTGCATATGTTTCACCCGACCTTGGCGGCGAGGCGCGAGGCGAGGCGGCTTTTGCTCGCGCTCGCCGCTGGTGGAGACATGACTGTACGCGCGCTCTTGGCCTCAGAGCGCCCCAAGAGGGATGGTGATTACGACGAGCCTTGCGACGTCCCGGGGTGAGTGCACTGGAGGAAAACAAAAAAACATGATTCAACGAGGCCAGTTTGCAACGATAGAATGCCAAGTCACGGTCAGAAAGCAGGCAGGCCCTACGAGGCAACATCCACATAAGCAGCACATGATAAATTGTTGACGCTTCGCGAATCCCCACCAGCCCATCCAGAAACTATGCCCGGAGGAATTGCCTCGATCAGGGAAGTGGTCAGCACGCAGAGGAAGCCAGTATGAGACATCTTGGGTCTTGGGCCAGATAGGGCCATCCTGGAGGTCAGTTTGGGCCCCCCCCAGGCGCTCTTAGGGTCATCTTAATCAGTGCACCCCCCCCAAGAGGCCACCATGTGGCTAACACCTTCGTGCAGTCAAGGGTTTGGCATTCTCGTCGAGGCCTCTTGGAGCATCTTGGGTGCCGCTGGGGGTCTATTGGGGCCTCTTGGGCGCCTCCTGGGGGCCTCTTGGGGGCCTGCTGGGGCCACCTTGGGGCCAGCTTGGGACCTCTCGGGGCCTACTGGGCGCTTCTTGGGGCCATCTTGGGCGAGATGGATCAACCAAGATAGGGGGCTTTAATTAGCCCCCCCCCCCTCAGGACGCCCAAATGGTACCAAAACCATGGTGGACCTAATGATGTTGGCTCCATCGCCGAGACAATTTTGGACGCCCTGACACCTCGCGACCCTTCTCGTCCAAGCCCAGGGGAGGGGGCAGGGGGAGGGGTAACCCCCTACCCGAAGGAGACGAAGGATGGGGTGGAAGAGGACACTTTCTAAACCACCGACGCCCAGAAGGCTAGTGGGATGTAGTAGCCAGCTGGGTACCAAGGGCCGTGCAGGGGGTCGGCGACGCACACGTATCCAGGCCCTGGGGCTCTCGGAACGCAGGCGTTGTAGTTGGTTGTTGTTGGTCTGGCGCATGTCGGAGTTCTCGAAACCAGGCTCATTTTTCCCAACCATCCTGTGGTGTTGGGTCCTCGTTTTGAAGAGACGTCGCCCCGCGTTCCTTCCTTCCTTCCTTCCTTCCCGCTGCCCCCTCCCTCCTCCCATCTTCATCATCATCGTCATCATCCCCATCATCGTCATCGTCATCATCATCTGTCGTCATCATCATTATCACCACCCATGTCGGCACACCCCTCACACGTTTCGTGACCCCATAGGGAGCTCCACCGAAGGTCCAGTGCGTGTGCCCGCATGCGTCCCGCACACTCATTTCGGCACACCCCTCACACGCTTCGTGGCCCCATAGGGAGCTCCACCGAAGGTCCCAGTGGGTGTGCCCGCCGATGCGTCCCGCACACCCATTTCGGCACCCCTCACACGTTTCGTGGCCCCATAGGGAGCTCCACCGAAGGTCCCAGTGGGTGTGCCCGCATGCGTCCCGCACACCCATTTCGGCACACACCCCTCACACGTTTCGTGGCCCCATAGGGAGCTCCACCGAAGGTCCCAGTGGGTGTGCCCGCATGCGTCCCGCACACCCATTTCGGCACACCCCTCAAACGATTCGTGGCCCCATAGGGAGCTCCACCGAAGGTCACAGTGGGTGTGCCCGCATGCGTCCCGCACACACATTTCGGCACACCCCTCACACGTTTCGTGGCCCCATAGGGAGCCCAACCGAAGGTCCCAGTGGGTGTGCCCGCATGCGTCCCGCACACCCATTTTGGCACACCCTTCACACTATTCGTGCCCCATAGGCCATCAGGGAACTCCACCGAAAGGTCCAGTGGTGTGCCCGCATGACGTCCCGCACACCCATTTCGGGCACACCCCTCGCACGTTTCGTGACCCCATAAAAAAAAAGGGTGGAGCTCCACCGAAGGTCCCTCAGTGGGTGTGCCGCATTGCGTCCCGCACACACCATTTTCGGCCAACCCCTCACACGTTTCGTGGCCCCATAGGGAGCTCCACCGAAGGTCCCAGTGGGTGTGCCCGCATGCGTCCCGCACACACATTTCGGCACACCCCTCACACGCTTCGTGGCCCCATAGGGAGCTCCACCGACGGTCCCAGTGGGTGTGCCCGCATGCGTCCCGCACACCCATTTCGGCACACCCCTCATACGTTTCGTGGCCCCATAGGGGGCTCCACCGAAGGTCCCAGTGGGTGTGCCCGCATGCGTCCCGCACACACATGTCGTCCCACCCCTCACACGTTTCGTGGCCCCATAGGGAGCTCCACCGAAGGTCTCAGTGGGTGTGCCCGCATGCGTCCCGCACACCCATTCCGGCACATCCCTCACACGTTTCGTGTCCCCATAGGGAGCTCCACCGAAGGTCCCCGTGGCGCAGTCCACATGCGTCTCCTTTGCCCAGTACAGCGTTACGTGGCCCCATATGGAGCCCCACCGCAGGTCCAGCCAGCCAGCTAGCTCTCTTTGCTCCGCGCAGCGGGCGACCCGCGCGCGTCGCTGGGACTCCTCCGGGGCGACCTGCGCGCGTCGCGGGGGCTCCGTGCTGCGTTCCGCCAGCGCCTCGCTCGCCCGTCGTCCTCGCTCGCCCGTCGTCGCTCTGCCCAGCGGCAAGAGCCTTGCCCGCTATCAGCCAGCCAGCTAGCTCTCTTCGCTCCGCGCAGTGGACGACCCGCGCGCGTCGCTGGGACCCCTCCGGGGTGACCTGCGCGCGTCGCGGGGGCTCCGCGCTGCGCTGCTCCCGCAGCCTTGGACTTTTGAGTGCGCGGGCAAAGAGGGAGTAAAGGAAGGGGAGGAAGCGGGCGCGATCCTCGCGGGGGGGCGCGCCGACATTGGCGTCGCGGCGCGCGGGCGATGCCGTCGGGGAGTCCCGGGGAAGCTCCTTGCGGCGGCCACGCCCAGCGTCACGAGTATTCAGAGGCAGTCGTTGTCAAACTATTGGCATTCATACACATTTGCACCACGCTTTGTCATATTCGCATTCATGCACGTAGACTCGCTCGCACGCAGATCATTCACAGTCAGACGCACGCGCGCAGATTCACCCGCGCTCAGTCTCCCTACGTACTCAGATCAATCGTTTTCGTTCACTTTGTGTACCACGCCACTCATGTCGGCACGCCCCTAGCACGGTTCGTTGCCTCATAGGGATCGCCACCGAAAAAATGAATCACTATTGCGGTACTCGCACCTGCATATGGTTGGGTCCCTCGTCAGGCTAATTTTTTGTTTGCCTGGCGCCTGTCCGACCCTAGCCACATCCCCTGGCGTATCGTTGCCTCTGCCGCTGGTCCCCCCTTGCTGTCTGTTGCTGTTCGGCAGATCTGCCAACTCCCTGCGGGGAGCGCGCCATGGCGCTGCTGGTGCGCAGTGCCATCAAATAGGGTGATATCATGCAGCTTCGCTGTGTTCACGTCCTGAGCTCGAGCGCACGTCCGCCTGGTCAGCTTCGCTGGCCGTAGCGTTGGCGGGGCTGGGTTGCGGCATTGCTTAGCTAGGCGTGGCATGCACAGATGCGCCGCTGTGTTAGCTTGCAGCGTAGCTTAGCTTATATTGACTTGCAGTCTAGCCATCATTGGTTGGCTGGCCGAAGCGCCGCGCGACGTCGAAGGGATATCGCGCGGGGATGGGGGGGGGGGGGGGGGGGGGGGGGGGGGGGGGGGGGGGGAGCGGTGGCGAACGAGTCCGTCCCCGCCTGCCTGGCTCACCTCGGTCAGTCCAACGGCTTGAGTAGCTCATATTGGTGCCGATGGTAGGGGCCCCAGGAGGGCCCCACGAGGGGCCCAAAGGGGGACCCAAGACACCGCCAGTAGGTCTCATCGAACGGCGCGTTTGGATGAGAACTCCCAGTGGTCTCTGGGGCGAGTATTGTGGCCCTCTTGGGGCCCTCTTGAGGCCCGTTTGGGCCCCTGGTTGGCCCATGAGGTGGCTCCAAGAGGGCCCTAAGAGGGCCCCAAGAGGGGCACACGAGGGCCCCAAGAGGGCCCCACTATGGCCCCACGGATGCACCATAGGGTTGTCACGCAGGGCCTCTTCTTGTGACAGCCTCTTGCTGCCTTTAGAAGACACCAACAGGCCACCAGGAGGGGCCCAAGAGGGCCAGCATAGGGCCCCAAGACGCCCAAGAGGGATCCAAGAGGGCCCCACTGAGGTTGCCACGCAGGGCCCCTTCCTGTGACTACCCCTCGCTGTCTTTAGGAGGCCCCAGAAGGACACCAGGAGGGCGCCAAGGGGGCCCTAAGGGGGCCCCAAGATGGCACCAATAGGGCCCCAAGAGGACACAAGAGGGCTCCAAGAGGGCCCCGCCTGGGGTTGTCACGCAGGGCCCATCCCTGTGACAACCCTTCGCGGTCTTCAGAAGACCCCAAAAGGACACCAGGAGGGGCCCAAGAAGGCCCTTTGAGGGCCTCTTCGTCATAGCGTTGGCTCAAGCGCCGTAGTTTTGGCTCGGGGCCCCAGGTAAGAAGGTATGGGGGAGGGGTTTGATTAATAAGCTGGAGGGGGGCAACGCTCTAGACATCTAGACCACCCACGCCCAGGCGGCTGGTGGGATTTAGTGCGATGCTCGTCCCTTCTGGCCCTTCCGCTCCGTCCATGAAGTTCTGCTTGAATGGGATCGAGGC